TTTGTTAACAGTATAAGTGCAAAGTGATTTTCATGTTATACATTTCAAATGTTTGTTTTCAATAAAACTTTATTATATTTTTTCTGAATCTGTCAATTTGACCAGCCTTGTAACCACCATAAAAAATTAGGAAATAAATTTAAATTATGCTTTTTTGAGTCTAGAATGACTACAGATTATAACACAAATGTTTAGTCTAAATACCTTAAAATCTCATAACATTATACACTTATATATATTTATTATTCTTTATTATATTGACCTTCCAGCCATGGCTGGCTAACAACACAGAAGTTACAACAATGAGACACATGTACACTCATGATATCCTATCCAATAATTTAAAACTGACCTTTAGTCTTTACAAAATGACTTGTTTGGCTGTGTTTTAATGGACTAGTATTTTGTAAAATACAGTCACATTTTAATTATTATATATGTATATAGATTATTACTATTTACAAATAACTTCTTAAACTTATTTTTCTTAAAACATAGAACAGTAAATAAAGAAGAAAGCAAACAATTATCTCTTGTAGTCACGGCCTTTGTACTCGGTTGTTACTTGACGTGGGTTGCTAAGCCTTTTAAAATTTCACATGTGGAGGATATGAAACAAAATTTTTTTTTAGGTTTTATATATATACAGTTGAATAACTAAAAAAATCATAAATTACTATATCAATACCACAGAATTGCACTATGATTTATCAAGAACAGTAACTAAGCTGCATTTGGGTCCAAAAAAATATGAAATTTGAGCTCACTAAAGACCTACCTTTTTGTTTGAAATCTTGCAGGAAAAGAACGAGATTAACACAATAACCTCTAGGGGGACATTCTGAGCTTTTGATTGGTTATTCACATCATATATAGAAATAGGTATATAAAAAGGAAGCATTTCATAAAATGGAAAGAGGTGTGGTGCACTGTGTTTGATTCAAGTACATGAGCGATATCTTAGCAAATAGATAAGATAAGAGGTTCTTATTCTATATTCTAGCTTCTCAATATTGGTAGTTTGAGTTCCTAATTCGTATGAAACTATAGACTTTCTATTTTTACATCAAAAACATCTAATTTGAACCAGTGTTACATTCAACATACCATGTGACACACAAAAATCAATGTTTAGCTGTTTTTTTAATATTAACTTTTAAATTAAGAAATTAACTAATGTATAATACTAAAATTTGAATTATAATGTACAATTTGATACCAAACTTATTAGCATAAATTCATAAAATAGTAGTTCAATAAAATTTTGAATGCGATTACATGGCCTTTAACACATGACCCGTCATGATAGGGTTAATGCATGAAATTTTATAAACCTACGTTTGAAAAAAACTTCATGTGCAGCTAGTTTTAATGTAAAGTTACAAATCTATTAGCACATAATCATCCCCAAGTTTGAAATGATACACTAGAGGGAAGGTAGCAGGTTAACAGCACCAACCGCCAACTCTAGGGTTACTCATCAACTAGCAGTATATGACCATCACTTTTATAAAGCACCTACGGCAGTGTGTTTTGCGGCAATGGATCACTTACCAAAAATTTTGAGATTCACAGTACAGCCACAGTAGGCCCTGCCAAACCAATAGTTTAATAAAAATTATGTATGGTGATATCATCACAGACTACTAAAAACATACCATCCTCACTGGGAAGAATATCAGCTTCATAACTGTCCAGTGTATCAGGATCATCCAAGTTGTGATCCACAGGAGACTCTCCAACATCACTGAAAACATGAATCAAATTTATTGGTAATGTATTAAAAACTTTCAAACAACAAAACTACAGTCTATAATATACTGTTATCATTAGTTGGCTTTAATATTCTAAACCTGATAAACAGTTCTGCTTCTGAAGTCCCTGTAACTTTCACACAACCTGTGGTGGAGACAAATCCTTCAAATATACCTTATCACAATAATATTATTAAACAGGCCTGCGAATTTGGATAATTCATAATTTAGCTATGGAGATTTTGAAAATAATATTTATTTTTTCTATCATGTAAGGATTTTTTTACAAATCGGGAAGAAAACTCTTACTTAGATAAAACTATTATTTAGTTTATCACAATGAACATTTTTTATTATTATTTTTGTTTACAAAAATACAAACAAACTGAAGAAAAGTGATGCCAAATGAATATGCATCCTCATTTCTTTTGTGAAATCTACATCTTTTAGTCTCAAAAGTACGTGTTGTGGTCTTTCTTTATGTATTGCATTATGGCATTTTGTGAAACATCTGTACGTGATGGAGAAAAATGGATATCATTTTCAGATTCAGCGTACGTGAATTACTGTAGAATATGTAAAAATTTCAAGACAATAAAACTATCATAGGCATGTGTTATCATCACAATCTCTTTTCTCACAAGATTTAAGGACTCAATCAACTGAAAGCAGATCTTGCATATACATATTGTGAACCAAGGTGACTGTCGAAATGTCCGTCTGTCTCCCATTTGTACACAGGCAAAGCTCAACATTCACTTTTGAAATGATATGAGAACTGGCACGAATAATGTTGATGCCATATTTTATTTCGCAAGCAGGATATTGTACACTAAACTGTTAGAAATTAACCACGCTATCACTCAAATTGTGATGTAACTTAAAGAATAAAAATGTACGTTTACCGTATGTAATTGTTGAGCGGCTCTTAGCATGACTGAAATGCTCAACAATTACTTTTCGCAGTGGGCTGTATAAGTAGTTCAGAGCTTTGGCTATGAGTGAAACCAAGAGTGCAACACAATTAACCTTTATAACGTCCATAAAATAATTTAAATAGATAGATTAACTTAAACTTTCCCATCACTGGGGACGGGTACTTTCGGTTGTTAAACAATATTAAGGAGAAACAGCAATAATAATCTCAATAGTGCAATGAAGTGAAATAATATTTATCAATGAACAGTGTACACACATTTTAATACTTTTAGTAATATGTTCCTTAAATATTACCTCTCATTTGTCTATGTTTAGTATCTAAATGCTGAAAGATATATCAAACCTACTCACTTCTCATCTGGTACATCAGCACTGATGTATTTCTCATAGATGATGCCACCATCAATAGGAAAGATCTCATCCTGATAGATGATAATGTTCTTAATGAGTTCATTAAATAAGTTTTGATACTGGACCTGGTTCTTGTCATCCGGTATTGGCATCAGCGATGGTCCAAAGCAAGTAGCCAGATTATAGGGGTCCATCATATTCTCATCACTGAACTCCGACACACTAACAAAAGTTACAAAGTATATTTTGATACAGGTTACCTAGACTGGACTTGAACTGTAAAACACAGAAATTCAGTCCTTCAGATTTCAGCATCACAAGGTTGTTAATCTTAAGGAAGATGAAACCGTTCAATATACTAGTTCATTAATTAAAAATATATACAGAGAAACAACAACGAATTAGAAAAATATTCCACACAACATTACAAGAAACAGAAATTTAACTAAAATTTCAACAGAACTTCAAACAGTTTAAACAAGTTAACTAACCAGTTTTTAATTTGCACTACCTAAATAGCTAGAGCAGTAGAAAAAAAATACCTAAATCTGACTAACTTTAGAGTATACTTTATGACCTCCAAGGCTAACAAGTCTAACCGTGGAAAATAAAATTAAGTAATTTATTTCTAGAGGTTTACATATTTGAAACAAACTTTTTATATATAAATACACACACCTTAAGCAATGACAAGTGATGGCTGATAAGGAAATAAGCCAGTTTAGCAGTACAACATGAAACAATACTGCAAGTTGCCAGGTTGGAAATTAAGAATTTAATCTAAATTTAAACTAAAAAAGTGAAAGGAGGATATATATAAAGTTTAGTAACAATGATATATCAACTGATTTAGAAAAATGTTAACATTCTGTGTCACACCAGTCTGAGTTTTCTTCGTTTCTTTTATATTCATGAAAATACTTCACACATGTTAATTACTTTCAGACGAGGTTTATACGAGGTTCAATTCTGTGAAGGTCAATATTTGAAAGTTATTATCTTAAACTTACATGAACTTAATAAAAATGGTTTCATCCACTGATTGTAATGTAATGCAAGATTTTTAACTTACTGGTTTAGAAAGGCAAACAAGTAACGAAGAAGTACAAACACTGCCCTTGGTAAACTAGCGATGACATCTCGAACTTTGGTGACAAACTCATGCTTTGACTCCACTTCTGAGTAAACGAAGAGAAAAAAATCCCATTAGAATTCTTACATTTTTTAACTTTTCCAATTTCTCACGGATAAGATTCTAAAAGTATATTTTATTAAAACCTGTGAATTCAAATTAATTTTACTTTAGCTTCTGGAAAAAATAGACTAAATTTTGGCTTTATTTACATCCATCTCCTCCTTGCGAGTGTTTTTGTGTTGGATAAAAGGTCTATGATATAACATAACACTAGGAAATGAGAAACATTACCAAATAATAGTTTTAATGTTTTGTGTCAAGGCTTAAGAAAAAAAAAAAAGGTCGAATATAAACACAAACATAAAAATAAAGACTTAGTTCTTTTTTTTACTTCTTTCTTAAGAAAATACATATTTGTTTAATAAAATAGTTTTTAATTAACCCAAAAATCTGGATATGAAAAGCTTTGAAACAATTAATGTTTATTCTTAGACAGAAAGTGGGTATTATTATTATTATCACACTTTGATGATAATGTACGCTTGTAAATTAATGATTTGAGCATACTAACACTCTTTCCAGAGGAAGAAAAAAATAAAACTGAAAACTTTTATAAGGAAGCTCTTGTAAAGAAGGATTTTTTACATCATGTTAAAAACTGATTACACGAGAAACTAATCAGAACAAAAAACACATTTCTAATAAATACAAAAAGTTTTAAATTTCAGTACTAACATTTGTGAAATAAAAAATTGGAAATATAGTACTTACACAATAGGTACCTTCCCCACAACAACAAAAAGATATAGTACTTACACAGTAGGTACCTTCCCACAACAACAAAGAAGATGTAGTACTTACACAGTAGGTACCTTCCCACAACAACAAAGAGATATAGTACTTATACAGTAGGTACCTTCCCACAACAACAAGGAGATATAGTACTTACACAGTAGGTACCTTCCCACAACAACAAGGAGATATAGTACTTACACAGTAAGTTCCTTTCCACAACAACAAGGAGATATAGTACTTACACAGTAGGTACCTTCCCACAACAACAAGGAGATATAGTACTTACACAGTAAGTACCTTTCCACAACAACAAGGAGATATAGTACTTACACAGTAGGTACCTTCCCACAACAACAAGGAGATATAGTACTT